CATGTGTGTGGAAGGATGAGAGTTTGGACTTCCAGTGTGGACAATCCTTTCACTCATGGGGTTGCTAGCGGCAGAAGAGCGCGATCGTAACCAGTTATCTGCATAGGATTGACAGGAACACATCAATCCGGTCTAAGATTCCGATGAGAGTTATCAGTCTGAAAAAAGAGTTGAGATTGAAAGGCTTCACCCGACGTTTTTTTCTCCGGATTTTAAAAAGTTTCGTAAACCGACATGATATGTACTTGGAATGCGCTATGAACATCATCCTGCTCATGACGAACGATTAGGTTGTAGTTGTCGTTTTTGAGATTTCGTTTTTGATGTTGCCTTATTGAGTGTTTGAGACCCACTCTAAGCCTGGATCTTCGGATAGGGACCCATGGTTTGGTGGTAGATGCTAGTACGGCTGTGTGCGCTTTTTGCTATATAGGCATAGAGACACCTTCTTTCTGATTTTGTTTTTTGTATCAGCCCGCCTTTTGCGGCACTATTGGTTGAACCGTTGTGGTTTTGTTTTCGTGATTATAAAGTTTTTTGCTTTGAGTTGGGTCTTTGGGTACCGACGCTTTGAACCTACGGGTAACCGGGTCTTTGGAACCCTGAAATAGTCCCAAAGCTTCAAGTTGGACCCGGTATGACTGGTTACGTTTTTTTGGCTTGACTAGATCGGCATAAATACGAAGCAACGTAAGTTAGAACTCCTCTACAGGCTTTAGACGTAGTTGCCTCATGGCACTATGTGAAGACAGGATTTGGGTTGGAGGAAGATTGGGAAAGTAAGTAGGGACGAAGTGAGGAGGAACCCCGTGATGAGACAGCGACGACTGTCGAAACGCGTCGGGGACGCACACCTATTCATATCTGTTGTATTCAATTGTATATCACTTACGATTGGTTTTTTGTCAACCGTGTATGACATGTGTGTACTGCATGTGTGTTATGAACTGTTGACGTATGACAAGATTTGAGTTGATAATCAAAAAATTTCATATTTATAAATTATCATTCCAATGTTCGTTCAATTCAAAAATTTTTGATTTTATTTGATAAGTTTTCGTCTAAATATGAGTTTTCCCTTCCAGCTACATCTAGTTGTTTAAGATGGAATGAAATTCTGGACGAGTTAATGAAATGTTTTAATTAAATTTTCATTCTACTATAACAAATATCTTCTTATTTAGATTGGATTAACCTATTTACTGAAAATCCTTACTTAGAATGACAGTCCAATTAAAATATTTCATGAACTCATCCAGACTTTCATTCCATCTCTAGCATGTAGTTCAAATAAGAAGGGATACCCCATTCTTGGAAGGAAAGTTTTCAAGTAAGACGAAAATTTTTAAAATTAGAATGATATTTTTTAAGATAGAACGAAAATTTAAAATTTACAATGTAATTTTACTATAGAATGATTATTTAATTCTGGGATTTTTTTTCTGTTGTAATAGAATACTGATTCGTTGAGACTAATGTCAAAATCCTAATTTGGGACAATAAGAAAGGATAAGATAACGGAAAATTAATAACGATAAGGATAATACATATAACAATAAGAATACAGTGAATAATAATAGTACTAATAATAATAATAACACTACAAATGATGAAACAACAATATAAGAGGGGATCTGAGAGAGTGAATAGTCCCAAGGTTAGATAAAAGTCTAAGTAAGAGTAACGGGAAGTGAAGGGGCAGATGAGGGATCTATGATATGGGTATGGGGGATTATTGTGGTCGAGGGCGATTGAGGGAAATGGCGGGAGGTGTGAATGATGTGTGGACAAGGCTGGGGGAGCTATATTGAGGATGAAGGGAGAGAGGATGGGACTGGAAGGCGACAAGTTGGTAGTTAGGGTATGTGTCAGATGGAGCGGGTTTATGGGTGTATTCAAGGTAGAGTAGTGGTGACCATTGGGAAGTGGATGTGGTTCGACTAATCGGGAAGGTGCAGAATAAGAAAAACGTGACTAGCGAGGACGAAGATCATATTGGTGGTATGAATGTATCTGAATCAAGTTTGTATTTAAAAAAAAAAAAAAAAAAAAAAAAAAAAAAAAACACCTCACACATATGGGGGGGATGGAGATTCTTCGATCGAAGTGTTGGAGGTACACGTAAGATGCAGACGGGTAGGAGTATGGGAGTGATGAGAGTTCGGTATGAATCTAGTCTAGAAGATAATTGTCGTTCGGAGTTAGTTTCAATTTCTGAGCTAAGTTTATTTTACTTAGATCAATTTCTGCATGTTCAAAGCTAGGTTTATTTTACTTAGATCAATTTCGACATTTTCTGAGCTAAGTTGATTTTACTTAGATCAATTTCTGCATTATCTGGGATCTTTTATTATACTTGGTCTTGTATAAATCTTGGTAAGGCACTTTCTCTACGGGAAGCGCTGCCGAAATTTCTACAAAACCAAGGAGTTAGTTAGATTTTGTCTTTTTCAGGGTCCAGTTCCTTTGACTTTTTGGCTTAGTAAAAACTTGGAAAAATATAATTTTCTAAAGGGAGTGCCGCCAAAATTTTTGTTAATTCACGGAGTTAGACAAAATTAGACATTGAAAAGTCAAAGTCATTTCAGATTCCAAACTTAGCTTTGTATAAATTTTGGAATAACACTTTCTCTACGGGAAGTGTTACCAAAATTTCCACAAATCTAAGGAGTTAGTTAAAAAAAAATTCTTAATTGAACTCATATTTTATATTTGAGTTCATTTCTGACTTAGTACAAATCTGGAAAGTCTCCCTTTCAAAAGGAAGTGTTGCCCAAATTTTTACTAATTCAGGGAGTTAGACAAATTTTGACTTCTATGACTAAAAGTTTGATTTTTGAGCTAGTATAAATTCTGCGATGACACTTTTCCTACGGGAAGCGCTGCCGAAATTTTCTTAGTTTAAAGGAGTTAGATTATATTTGACAGGTGACGATTTTGGCGATCCACCTTGAATAGGGGAGATTCTGCCATTAGTCTACCTTTGCTTTTGACACGGGCTTAGAGGTCGATTCTGGCTTAGCTAAGTAGAACGGATTTTGGTGAGATCATGGTGTGAAGATTATCCTCCATTGACTTATAGATCTAGCTTAGGGATTGGTCTGTCTTGTGTTACAGGTCCTCTTGATCGTTCTCATTCAGGATCAGGACTAGTTCCAGCTTGATCCTACGAGGATCATCTTCTATTATCACTGATAATATGTAGGTGGCCGATTCATCGGTTTACGACTCAATTCCAACTCACCCTCGACACTTAATCTAAAAGGCTTTAGCCCTTGTGATTTTATTGTTTTGTTAAGGTTTCACACAGACTTTTATTGAATGACCGTTTAACAAAGGTACTAATATTTAATTATGGTTGGTTGGAAAGGAAGTTGGGGCTTGCTTGGTTAAAGCAAGGGGTATGAGTATAGAGGTTGGTTGGGGTTGACTCGGTGTACTGTGTGGACTTTTGTTTGACTCCTTGATGTGATTGCAGGTATGTACTGTGGCTCAGATTTGGATAGGATTGTCTGTGCCCACAAACGTATATATGGCTGTGAGGAGTCTCACTGTGTTTGTGAAAAGTGATCGTCACATACTTATTCCCTTATAAATATATATAAATATATGTGTACCTATGTTGGGGGTTCGCGTGGCCTGAGGGGCCCGCGTATTAAATATAAAATAGGGGTTGAGGGCGAAAGAAGGGGGAAGACTCCTCTATTTGATTGTGTACCTTTTAATAATTTATTAGTCGGACGTTGGTCCTGGGCCAGGATTCAAGGTCCTTGTCCAAGACATCCCAAGCCCTAGACTCTGCAGGGAAGGAATTTGTCCCCGTGAAGAGCCTATTTGCCTTTCCTGGACGCTCAGGCCGAAGACCGGAGATCTCGTGGTGGCCGCACGGTTATTCCTTCAGCTGTGCAATGTCATGAGGGAGTAGACCCTCACGACATTTCGAGTTTGACACTTGAGTGTCATAAGCGGTACTCGGATCAACGAGGGACCGCTTGATTATGGGCACTACATAGTACGCCATCTTCGCGATTGCTTGAGCATTCATGCATTGCTAATCGATATGAGTAAGTCCGGCGGCCACGCAGTTTTATACTAAGTTTTGCCCGCATCGTGTATCCGATTTCCGCAGCAGAGAGTTATGGGATGGCTACCGAGGGACTAGGAGTGTTGTCGCGTTGTTTATTTTATGCCATTTCATGTATGTGTGTGTATGTGTGCTTTTATTTTTATATTCTTTGTAGTGGTGTAAGCGTAGTGTGTGGGATGCGTCCTAGTCGACCGGCGACGGGTCACGCTTGGGACCTCAGCCCCCCAAGATGTCGGTTCTCGTGCGGGTTCGATAGAGGCGTATTGCCGCGCGTACCCCCTATGCTACAGCGAATGAGAAACACTCTCGGCTGGTCCACCTCTGCGATTGCAACTGATCAGCTTTTGTAGTGTGGACTGGTAGCTCGGCGGGGATACACCCACCGAAGGGAGGTGACAACTCCCGTAAGGTGGAGGTAAGTCGTGCCTCGCGTAGGCCCTATCCTGTCGTAGGGGCTAGCGAGAGGTATGGTTGGTGCACTCAGCCGGAGCGACTTGCGGAAGCTCCATGTACATTCGCGACGAGGGAACAAACCAACTCCTTCGTGATGCGGCCGGGAGGGTCCCGCATTGCCCTGTGCGGTGCCGGACCGATGCACTCGACAGGTGGCACCGTTGCCGGGGATAACGAAAGCCTACCGTTGTCCCTGGTGGAACGACATCCGGGTATTGGATCGAGAGAATTAGGCATATAATGGAGATATGGCAAGGCTGGTGAGATGGATTGTATGATGTCTTGCGTGGTTATGTGCGAAAGGTTTGATTGTTCGTGATTTAGATTGGTAACATGACTTGATTGTATGATTGGAAGGGTTGCCTAGGAAGGCCTATGGTGGGAGCAGACTCTATCGGGGTAAACCTAGGAGTAGAGGTGATGTCTGTTAGACTAAGCGCGTATAGGGGTGATATAGGGTGCCTGATAGAAGTATGACAAGTCAGGCTGCTGAATGAAGCTCTCTATTTCTTTTTATATGCAGGGAAGTTGAAAAAGAAGCAGTCGGCCAAGATGTCGGGAGATGTGGGCGATGGTTCAAGGAAGGTCATGACGCTGGACGATCTTATCGAAGCCTTGGACAGGCGAGAAAGGGCGCCGAGCAATGTTCCGAAGGTTGATACGTTCCACTTCAATAGAGAGCAGGTCTCCGATTGGCTGGACCTGGTTGAGCAGGCGCTGGTGGGGTTGTCACATAAAGTAAAATTCCAGCGAATTTTGAGGTGCGTCCTTCATGGGCATCATCAGGAAGTGGGCAAGGTTGTGGAAGCCGCTAATGGCAGTTGGGCAAGGGTCAGGGATGGGATGCAAAGGAAGTATAGACTGGGTGATGGCCTGCTAACTACAATGGATTTGGAGGCTATGAATAAGAACGATTTCACTACAATCGGGGCGTTTGTGCAAGAGTTTAAGAAAAAGGCGAGGAAGGTGCATGGGATTTATGAAGAAGCACAATGCACTATCTTTTTGGGGTTGCTCACCGCTTCTGAATCTTAAGAGCTGACGAGCTATGGAGAAAGAAGTGCAAAGCTCACCTGGGCTACCATTGATAAGGGAGTGGAGGATGAAAGTTTGGACCAGGTAGAGCAACACCAAATGCGCCTGCAGAGGCGGAAGAGGAAGGAAAGGGACGCCACCGTATCTGGGACCCCGGGGGTAAAGAGGATCGTCACGGACGTGCTAGCAGAGTTAGGATATGGCAAGGATGCTGAGGTGCAGAAAAAGGTGGTGACCGTGGTCCAAGATCGGGTGTCGAAGGTGGTGGACGAGAAGACCGGACACGAGGATTACGGTAGGGAGGAGACAGGCTCCCAGGTCCTGACCAAGGCGCAGCACAAGCAGCGCAATCTATTGATAGGCGGGCAAGGCTCTGGAAAGGGGCAGATCCCGCAGACGATCGCGGCGCCTCCGGCCGCTGCCATGAGTGCGCCTATGTCAGCAGGGCCCTCGATAATGGGGCCACCGGCATCATACGGACACTGGTTGCCCTATTACCCCATGGCGCCCTGGCCCCTGGACACGAGGATTACGGTAGGGAGGAGACAGGCTCCCAGGTCCTGACCAAGGCGCAGCACAAGCAACGCAATCTATTGATAGGCGGGCAGGGCTCTGGAAAGGGGCAGATCCCGCAGACGATCGCGGCGCCTTTGGCCGCTGCCATGAGTGCGCCTATGTCAGTAGGGCCCTCGATAATGGGGTCACCGGCATCATACGGACACTGGTTGCCCTATTACCCCATGGTGCCCTGGCCCCCATATAACCAATGCAATTCATGGGAAGGAGGCCAAGTTCCCTCGGGGCCGATGGTCCCCTATTTAGGACCACTGACGAGTGCGGGTCCACCAAGTTTCCCTGCAGCCCTGGGCCAATTCGCAGCCCAACCTCCACCCCCGCAGCAGGTATCGCAGGCTAGCGTGGTTGGAGGAGGGAACCAAGGGCAAGGAGGGCAGAGCGATGGAGGCCACGATCAGGGAGGTCGAGAAGGCGGTGGCCAAGGCCAAGGAAGGAACGGCAGGGGTCGTGGCGGTGGATGGAATGGCCAAGGGGGCCAGTACCAAGGAGGCCACGGTGGTCAGGAAGGGGGCCAAGGGTATGGAAGGCCCCGCTTCGATTGACGGAATGCCATCTGTCGGCATTGTGGCTATCAAGGCTAAACCATACGGTTTTGCCAAGGGCGGCGGGACGATGAGGTCTCCGGTTTGATTTCCACTAATATGGACGGGGATATATATGATAAATTCGGGAAGTATATTCACCCAAGAACTCTTGGCGGGGTCAGGCAAGAGGGCCAAAGGCAGCCAGCGGCAGGGCCAGCACCCCAGGTGATGTTCAGGAGGTGGCATGAATGAGAGGACTCGGCCATAAGGGTCGAGGAGATTGTGGGGGAGAATGAGGAGGTGACGCAGCAGCTAAAAGCAGGGACTATACAGGAGGAACCAATAGTCATCGAGTCGGATGATGAGGAGTTGGGAGAGGAGAGGGAGTCGGTCATAACCATCCTCGAGAAGATGGAGGATTTGCTGGGGAAAGTGGATAGGTACCAGCAGAAGTTAAAAAGTTTGTGTGATGAGGCCCAGGAGTGGAGAGCCAACCTCTCTGGAGTCTTCCTCTATGAGTCGGGCCTGAATCGTCCTCGGGGTAACAAGGGTACCCAAGGGTTGAGGCTGTGGGGTCAGGCCCTAGATCGGGCATGACCTATAGGCCCCCCACGTCGCATGGAAGAGTACCACAGGCGGCGCGTACCTGAAGTCAGAACAAGGTTGAAACTATTCAAGCGCCCAGCCAGGCACCTAGTCAGGCACCCCCTCGAAAGGAGCCTGAGCCCGAACGCAGAAGGGAGGTGGTGGAAGTCCCGGAAGAGGAAGAGGAAGATGACGACGAGGAGGATGAGAGGCTCCGGCAAGAGGAAAACCGGCGGGCGGAGCTAAGAGCTAGGAAGAGAGGGGTTCAGGAGGAAGCTGAGCCAAGCCATCCTGACAGCGTACCTAAGAGGAAGAAGTACGCGGTTCGGTTGGAAGAGTGTTTTGATGTGGAAAGGATGGTAGACAGACTCCTGGAAGGCCACAATGACCTACTGAATTTGAAGGACATTTTGGCGTTAGCCCCAAGGCTCCTTGATGGTTTGAAGGGGCGGCTCTCGCAAAGGTTAGTACCCAATGTCCATCTAAGTACGATCCTGCTGAGGGAGGTAGAGTGGACTGAAGCAGGGACGAGGATGGACTGGAAGTGTGTGGCGTGTGGCCAGGTGGATTTGGTGGTGAAGGATCAGAAGTGCAGCGGAATTGTGGATACAGGCGCAGAGATGAACATCATCCGGGATAGGGAAGCGATCATGTTGGGAATGGAGATCGACCGTTTGGACCATGGTATGCTACATGGCGCCAATTGCAAGGTGGTCTTTTGTGGCACGGCGTCCAATGTGATCGTAGAAATTGGCAAGGTACGGGCAAGGACTTGTTTCTTTGTCATGTCGGATGTTGACCACTCTATCCTCTTGGGGAGATCGTTCCTGTGCCGGACAGAAACTCTGATTTTTAACAAGCATGATGGGACGATGATCCTACTCTTGTGTGAACCGGCCTGCGGGAACTACGAAGTCATTACTTGTCGAAACACGGGGTTGGGGAGTGAGAGGAATAGGCCTAATCTAGGCTCGTTTACCTTTGAGGAATCTGAGAACGAGCGACGGAGGCTTTGGGAGTTGCCCGAGGAGGAAGGAGGGGCCGAAGTGCTGACACTAAGCCTTACTGATGTAAATAAGGCTATGGAGGTGGCTGACACTATGGAGTTGCCCGAGGAGGAAGGAGGAGCCTTACTGACATGGCAGACCCCGAGGCCATTAGGGCGCTGAGGGAGCAGGTCTTGGAAAACCCTAAGGTGGGAGAAGTAGAGCTGGTTTATCGGCTTCCGAGTTCCGGGTGGAAGGGGGGATCATGCGATGGCATAAGCACAAACCGCAAACCGGCCTTTTTTAGGGGACGGCTTAAGCAGGGTTCCCAAAGGCGGTGCAAAACGGTAGATAAGAAGTGTCGCCCAGTTCCCGTGCTCGTTACTGAAGATGAGGAGGCCTATTACGAGCGGAAACAAGGGTTGATACGACGCATGCGAGAGCAAGCAGCGAGTGGTTCATGTCGTATCAACGATGAGAATGAAGGGGAGCTGATAATTGGAGAATATGGCTTCCTTTCACCTCAAAAGAGGGCTCTGATGGTGGGGTTAATGAAGAAGAGGCATCACACTTACGCCTTCAATGACGATCAGCGTGGGAGATTGGATGTGTACAAGATCCCGATGATTCGGATCCACACGGTCCCACATGAGCCATGGAATCTAAGAGGCGCGCGGTATCCTAACCCTGATGAGGAGAAGATGGTGGTGGACTACCTGGACGGCAAGATGCGCACGCATGTTGCTGACTATTCCAGCGGGCTGTATGCTTCCCTCTGGTTTTGCTTCGTCAAGCCAAATGGGACGCTACGGTGAGTACAGGACTTGCAGCGGCTAAATGCGATGACAATACGAGACGGGGGAGGGTTACCAAACGCGGATGCATTGTCAGAGTCATGCGCAGGGAGGCCTATAATTTCACTTATAGACCTCTACTCTGGGTATGATCAGTTTCTTGTATATCCGCGAGATAGACCTGTAACGACAATGCATATGCCAAGAGGGCTAATTCATATGAATGTAGCCCCTCAAGGTTGGACGAATGCAGTGGCGATGGTGCAAAGGCACATGATTAGAGTCATGCAGACGGTTAGTCCACACATCACCCAACACTTGGTGGTCAAAGGCCCGAAAGAAAGAGAGGAAGACGAAGTGATGCCCGGAGTAAGGCGTTTTGTCTGGAAGCATGTCCAGGACCTTGATCGGGTCCTGAGCCTGTTGGAATAATACAACCTTACAGCGAGTGGTCCAAAGTTCAAGCACTGCATGAGGGAAACCACCATCTTGGGTTTTGTCTATAATGAGAGTGGTCGAAGGTCTGACGTGAAGAAGACAGATAAGATCCTTGAGTGGCCAGTACCTTTTCGTTCGATAACGGACGTAAGAAGCTTCCTTGGCACGTGTGGATTCTGGAGGAGCTTCGTAAAGAACTTTGCCGCCAAGACTGAGCATCTGAGAAAGTTGGTACGTCAGGATTAGGGATGGGTTTGGGGTGAAGATCAGGAAGAGGGTGTGAAGCGAATGAAGGAAGAGTTTAAAGAAGGAGACTTAGTGTTAGGGGCGCCAAATTATGAAGCTACAGAGGAGAGGCCGTTTATCATCGAGACGGACGCTGGGCCAACTGCCCTGGGAGGAGTCTTGGTTCAGGCAGATATCGATGGGAAGGAGAGGCCACTAAGATTCGAGAGTCGGACTCTTAATACGACTGAGAGGAATTACTCTCAGTTTAAAAAGGAGACGCTTGTGGTACTCCATTGCCTGAGGATCTTCCGGAACTATGTTTTTGGCAGGAGGTTCATATTGAGGGTGGACCCCGCTGCGCTCGCCTGTTCCCTGAAGAATTATACCCAAACTGACCCAACCATCACAAGATGGTTGACGTACATTTGGATGTTCAACTTTGAGCTAGAGAGGATTGCAGGGGACAAGAACAGGGCAGACGAGTTGAGCCGCATTAACTGGGATGGGCCAGATCAAAAGTCGATAGAAGACACTCCGCCAATTGATGGGTTCTTGGACCAAGAAGAATACGTCCACCTCCATATAAATGAATGGTCGCTGTGAGTGCCTAGTTGCGTCAGCCACCCCATATGGCTAGCGCCTAGGGGGTATGAGCAAAAAAAAAAGTTGGTCCTCAAGCCCTTTCAAGAGGAGGATCCATGGGGAACTAAGGATGTCCACTTGATGATGAAATTGGCGTTGGCTGGTACACACAGTCTGACGGAGGAAGTAAGGACGATAGAGGAGGGCCCCACTCAGGTATGTGTTTGTCATAGACTCGATGGACCTGATGGTTGATCTCGTTGTGTACCTGTTTGCTTCCTCTCGCCTGATGTGCAGGTTTGACTTTCCGAAGACAGTCATGCAAAGGGGAAGGAGGGGCGCACAGTCACGATAGAGGCTCCTGGGAGCATCTGGAAGGGATGACCAGCGCAAGCCATTTGGGAGAGAGTCCACGCCTGTCTTCGACGATAATAACATGGAGCTCTTCTTAGACACCTACCAGGCTCATGCGACACGAAAGGGATGGACTACCCTGGAGATGATACGAAATTTGAGAGGGGTTGGACGTTTCGAGGAGTCTATCGCGCATATTCGAAGGGAGGCTTTGACCTGACCGGATGTGGAGGCAATAATGCAGAGGTTGAGAGCTTCGCCGGTGGGACGCTATGGTTTGCCTATCCGACTGGAGGAAGGCAATGCGGAGGAGTTCATTCCAGCCTACGAGCAGTATATGTGCGATCAGGGGACCATGCAGGAAGAGTGGATGTAGACGTTGCTCCTTTGGACGTGAAGGGCAGACAAGCCATTGGCAAGACAGATTCGGGATAGGGCGCGTGATTGGAAAGATTGTCAGGCTCAGTTGAGGCAGGCGTTCCGATGGTCGGAGCCTGAGAGGCCAGAGCCCAGGGTTGAAAGAAGGCAGAGAAGTAAGAGACCACGGGACCCAGAGACGAGGGGGGTCACTGTGACTAGGAGAAGCCGAAAGGCCTTGGCACGGCGGGAGGAGGAGCCAGTGGAGCCGGCTCAGGCAGCAGAGCCACCCCCAACTAATACATTTGAGCAAGTGGAGTTTCGTCAGATCACTAGCAGTGAATTACGGGGCCCTTCGCCGAAATTGCCAGAGGAGGGGGAGGATGTGCTATCGGAGACGCCGCTCAAGAGTTTGGAAGCCCACCTTGATGCGTCTCAATGGGGGACTTCGCAGTTTGGGGCGGGTCCGGTTGGACCTGCACAATACGAGCCGGCGGAAGGGCTACAAGGCCCTGAGCTAGAGACTGAGCATCGTGAGCCAGGGGAGCTACAAACTAAGGAGGTTATTGCCATTGGGGACGATACTCCTTGTAGCGGACCCACCAGGTGTGGTGCTCCGCTAGTGACAGAGATGGAGATGGAGGAAGAAGGAGGGAGCAAGGTGCACAGCGCAGCTCCCCACGCAAGACTCCAACGCACGTACTCCAAAATGTGCAAGAATAAGACGAAAACAGACAATGGCTGGGGTATACCCCAGTGGACTGACGGGATTGGACTGGACTGGCTGGTACCGACAGAGGTACCGGCCTGGACTGGCCAACCCCGAATACAACACAGGCCTGTGAGAACAGGCCAAGGGGCTGGTCTCACAGGCCAACCCGGGGTCCGCTACACGATCCTCGGCCTGTGATGGATCGCCTAGATACAAACATGCTTCCGCCAAGAAGCGGAACTCTACCAAAGAAAAGAAAACCTGAGTAGTCTAGGATGCGGAGCAAGCTCCATGCAAAGTCCATGCGATGCAACCTAGGATATAAAATATCACAAAAAAACAATGTCACAGCTAACAGCTTAAGTGAAAGCAAAAGCAACTAACTAACATACATGTCCTAGGAAAGCAAAAGCAACTAACTAGCATACATGTCCTAGGAAAGCAGAAAGTAGTGACAACTAGATCCTAGAATGTTGGAGGCACTAGCCTCAGTCTGGTAACAACTGACTAGTGTATAGGTCCTAAGAACAGCAAAAGCAGAACAGCTAAATCTTAGAAATGTCAGAGGCAGTAGCCTCAGTCTGAGAGCAACAAAGCAATCAACAAGACAATCATATGTCACATGAGAAGTGTGTCGCAAACCAAAGGGTGGGATAGTCTCTGAGGGTGGCGAATGCAGCCTAGGGGTCGAAAACTCCTAAGGGCATCCACACATAGTGACAAGGGAAAACACATGTCATCAGGCTCACTTAGGGTAGGGAACTGGGAGGGAACAGAACCAATGACCCTAACAGATAGACCATCGGGGCGGGTAATGCTCGACTAAGGGGTGACCGCTATGGAGGGTCGACCATGCAAGGGAACAAGGGAGCCTGGTATACTGGGCGCACCTAGATGAAGCATGCGGGGCTGCCTAACTAGGGCGTGAGGGCCGGCAAAGGGTAGAAAGATGATGGGTAAGGGAATCATGCAAATGACTCCTAAAGTGAGGGAGGTCGGAGCTAGATCTGTAAGATGGGAAGCCAGGGCAACGCTACGGTCCCGATGCCTATGCGTATACCAAGGGAGAACCCAACTCAGAGGAAGCCGGCTAAAGGGAGACCATCATGCGACACAAGCAGGGTACTGTACAGGGTAGAGTGGTAAGAGAGTGGCGACGTCTGAAGTAGGCAGAGCTGATCGTGATGAAGTTCATAAAGCTGTCAATGATGTCCACGATGAGAAGTCCGGAATGCCGTCGAGGAAGAGCCGCAGTGTCGACGAGCTGAAGTAGCAAAACTGATGTGGATGGAGTACTGAGAAGTCAAAGACGTGGGAAGGTAAGTCAGAGTCAATCGTCGTATCGAGCAGGACAATGACGAGTGCGCTGTGGACGCCCAGAAGCATCCGACTGCTGCTGAAGGTCTGCCTCAGATGGAGCAGGCTCGACTTCAGCGTTCTCCTCAACCGGAGGAGAAGGAGGAGGGTCAGTGGGCAGAGGAGGAGCAGTGAACCCAACACGGCGAGCACGGTCATAGGCACGCACCAACATGCGAGCGTGCTGCAAGTGCTCGAGGGGCTCCCAGGTAGCCTCTTCATCAGGGTAACCCTTCCAACGCACGAGATACTCGACGTGGGGAGGGTTGTCGTCGGTGACTCAGCGACCAATGATGTCTGAAACGAGGAACTCCTCGTGACCGTCCACCATGATGGGTGGAGGGCGCTCGTATGGTCGTCCGGCGAAGTGCTCAAACGGTCTGCGGTAAGGACGCAGTAACGAGACGTGGTAGACATCGTGCACACGAGTCTTGCATAGGTAGTCGGGCAGCTTCACACGGAAGCTAACCAGGCTAGATGCCGTATAAGAACCGACGGCCTGGAGGATGCGGCATGGGCCAAAGAAGCGACGCCGAAACTTGCGAAGCGTGTCCGCGTCGAGCTGTAAGTGGCGGGCGTCGATAAGCACATCATCACCGACTTTGAATGGATGATCCATCCTCGATCGGTTCGCACGTGCTGCCATGCGAGTCTGGGAAGCGACTATGTGCTCATGTGCGGTCTTCATGATCGACGTCATGTGTGCAACCCAATCGTCCAGCGCGGGACAACTCGTGTCGGGGTGCAGATGGGATGGTCGAAGGATGTCCGCGGGAACAGGAGGGTGATAACTGAGGTCGCAATAGTAAGGCAACATCCCCGTGGCTGGCGAGACGGCGTGGTTGTAGGCTATCTCCGCGTGGGCAAGATGAAGATCCCACTGCTGGTCGTCACGAATAATCTTTCGAAGAATATCTCCAAGAGTCCTGTTCGTGATCTCGGTCTGACCATCAGTCTGAGGATGGTAAGACGAGGAGAAGCGGAGCTGAGTGTCGTATACCTCGTCGAGCCGTCGCCAGAATCGGCTGGTAAAGCGCGGGTCACGGTCAGATATGATGCGTAGAGGTAAGCCGTGGTCACGCACGACTCGGTCAAACACGATGTCGGTGACCTCACGTGCACTGATAGCATAGCGGCACGGAACAAAGCGTGCACGCTTCGTGAAGCGGTCAACGCCGACCAGGATAGCATCATGACCGCGGGGGGTCGGAGGTCGAAGAAGACCGATGAAGTCCAGCGAGATTGACTGCCAACGAACCTCAGGGATAGGAAGAGGCTGGAGCAAACCATAAGGCAGGTGGTTCGCACTGTTCACCTCCTGACAGGTGGGACACTCGGTGACATAGTCCTTCACAAAGTCCTTGCGCTTTGGCCAGACGTATAGGCGGCTCACACGAGCCAACGTCTTATGGAAGCCCATATGACCGGCACCTGCCTGGTCATGGAACTCTGCTACTGCTCGGACACGTAGCTGTCCAGTGGAGGGAACGCAAATACGGGGCTCT